ACCTAATCTGCAGAGTTCAAAGCCTTTGCTAGCATCACCAAAACCTCCAACAGTTTTTCCACAAGTACCTGCTTCAAATTTGAAAACACAAAATACTCTTTACAATGTATTCATTGAAATTTCAAAACCTAACATTTCAAAACGCAGAGAGAAGAGAGAACTTGGAGAAAAAAGAGAGAGTATGGTGACGGTGGTAGAAGAAGTTGTGGTGAAAAATTTTGTTATCAAGAACTTAGAAAGACAAAACGCATACCTCAAAATGCAGAGAGAAGAAGTTGTAAGTGGTGAAAATTTTCGTTATCCAGAACTTAGAAAGACAAAGTCATTGCGCGCAGAACCTGTAAGAAATTATTTTAATTAAAATTTATTAACTAAACTTTATTTTAATTATATATAATATATTTTCGATAAATGTACTATAAATGTTAGCTAGCTTGGTGGTAAACTTACGTTTTTGGGAGGCTAAGGTCATCTATTCGATTCCTCATATCAACATAAATTATATTATAATTGTTTTATTTCACTAGAATGTAATAAGTGAGAATCGAATCGATACGTGACTTAATAAATAAGTTTCTTAAGTCATTTCAGGAAAAGAACCGACTTAAGAAATTTAATGTAATTCCTCATATCAACATAAATTATTTATATTATAATTGTTTTATTTCACTAGAATGTAATAAGTGAGAATCGAACCAATACGTGACTTAATTAAGTCATTTCAGGAAAAGAACCGACATAATAAATTTAATGTAAATTATATATATTTTTTATTTAATCTTTGTAAGTCGGTTAAACATAGATACGACATAACAATGTTATAAAAATTTACGAAATTTCCACCGCATCACTTCTTAAGTCAGGTGGCAGGTGAACTGACTTAACAGCCTCTGCTATAAATTATTTTTTCTACTAGTGATTGGAGGCTATTTTGGGAATGGATTAGATTGGACAAAGAAACTTCCATTGACGGTTCTATGGACTTTGGCCAAACACTAGAAATCTTCAAAGGAAAAGTTGCAAAATACATTGAAGGATACTTAGGATGATAGTTTGTTGGTGCATTTGGTGCAAGCAAAACGCCGTGATTTTCAAAGAAGACTTTTCCGTCCTAAGGACATTGAATTCTACATCAAATTCATCTCTTCGCTTTGGCTTTGCCTTCTTAAAAAAACACTATGTTGTAGCTTTTATGATTAGTGCAAGGCACCTTTAGACTTTCTAGATCACTAATATTTCGCTTGGCTAGAATGGAAGGCATATTTATAAGTTATAGTAATACTATTGTAATGCTTAGTTGAGTATTCTTCATACTCTTCTTAATGAATTTACTTTGCTTAAAACAAAAAGAACCATTTACTTTTTAATAGGGACTAACTTAACGAAATTTGATATAGATTGAGCACTAAAATGTTTTATAACCCTATGGACCCAACAACACATAGCAAAGCAATAAGATATCTACACTACGCCAGAAATGACTTTTAGCAGCGCAACAAAAGACAGCGCTTTCTAAAAAAGCGCTGTTAAAGGGTCATGAAAAAAAAACAAAAAAATAGCATACCTAAGACAGCGCTTGTTAAAAAAGCGCTGCTAAAGGGGGGGGGGGTCAAAGAAAGCGCTTTAAAAAAGCGCTGCTAAAGGGGGGGTCTACGAAAGCGCTTTTAAAAAAGCGCTGCTAAAGGGGGTCATAAGGCAGACCTATAGCAGCGCTTTTAAAAGCGCTGCTAAATGCAAAAAAAAAAGCGCTGCTAAAGGGGGTCCTAAGGCATACCTATAGCAGCGCTTCTAAAAGCGCTGCTAAATGCCAAAAAAAGCGCTGCTAAAGGGGGGGTCTACGAAAGAGCTTTTAAAAAAGCGCTGCTAAAGGGGGTCATAAGGCAGACCTATAGCAGCGCTTTTAAAAGCGCTGCTAAATGCAAAAAAAAAGCGCTGATAAAGGGGGTCCTAAGGCATACCTATAGCAGCGCTTTTAAAAGCGCTGCTAAATGCCAAAAAAAAGCGCTGCTATAGGTTTAAGTAGCATAAATTTTAAAAATTCCAATATTTTCACATAATCAGAACAGTCTTCTTCTTTCTTATTTCCACTCGCGAATGTTGCCCTATTCAAAATTAGAACAGTCACCGTCGACGCATTCCGTCCGCGCCTCCGTCCGACAGCCTCCGTCCGTCGTCTTTCCTCCGGTCATTCCGTCGTCACCTCATTCTGCCGCCGTCCGTCCATTGTTACGGTATTTGAAGTTTTTCATTTTGCATTTTTCTGGATTAATGTCTTAGTATTTCATTTTTTTGGATTATATGATGTTAGTGTTACTTCTTTTCTGAATTTTTGACTTGTTTTTGTTGATACCGTTGATGAAAATTACTCGTTTGATATTGGCTTGAGTTTTGTATACAAGGTGTTTGTTGAAATGTCACAATGAATTTACTTATGTTAACTTTCATTATATCTAGCCGTATACAAGGTGTTTGCTGAAATGCCACACCTTATATGAGTTCTTTTTACTAATAATTTTTATAAGGGAAATACTGCACATATATTCAATGATTTTTTAGATTATGTTGCTTTAGAAACTTCACACTATTTGTGATTTAGATGAAAGCTTTAAGTTTTTGTTAATCTTGAAATTTATTTATTTTTCTTAATCCTTATTTTTCTATGAAATAGTCTAAATTCACAAATAATCCTTATTTATTTATCACTGTCAGCTTGGATGTGTTTCATTTCAACATTACAATCAGCCGTAGTGACAGTATTCTTGGAGCCAGACCTTAATGCATGGAAGATTAATTCTCTACTTCAATTTGGTTCCACTTTATATGCGGTAATTTTTCATGATGATACACACCAATATTTATACATCATAATCCTAGATAATTTGTAATAAATATATTTTGTAGGGAATTATGGGATCAGTGGTTATGTTTTGTCTTCAAGCATGGTGCATAACACAGAGAGGACCTCTTTTCTCTACATTGTTTAGCCTTCTTGTGACAGTGATTGTGACTGTATTGGCTGCTTTGGTACTTCATGAGGAAATATATATTGGAAGGTAATGATAATGAAGATTAATTCTATAAATACATATTTAATTATTAATCTGATTAACAGAAACTTCAAATAATGATAAGAACTGAAAATTTCATAGAAATCTAGTACTTAATGATCTACATGGGCCTGTTCAAGTGTATTGTTACTTATCTATTATTGTTTTTGCTTGTGCTGTTGTTAAGATGAATCATGTTCTATTGAATTAAGCTTGGAAGACATTCAATTGAATAATGATACAAAGCTTGAAGAAAACCGTGTATTTGTGGCTGATAGTGAACTCCATGCAGTCTCATACAGAATTCAATAGTCAAGTAAAGATTGTTAACTTTATTTCTTCCTAATGTGACATCTCATATTGTATCTTTTTGTAAAGTTATCAGATTTGTAATTATATGTGAATTGATTGTATATGTGATTTTGTTCTGAGGATCGGACTGTGTTGTAATATATTTAAGCAGGTTTATGTGTATAATATTTCAAAGTGATGAATTATAATGTATATTTTAGTTATTGTGTATAATATTGCAAATTGATGAATACACAAAAATAAGGCCAAAATAATTGTTATATATAAGGCCAAACTGTTGAACTAAAGACCTGAATTATAAGCAGGGAATGTATTTGTTATAAGCAGGTTTATTGAAAAATATATAAAAAATGTGATTATTTTAAAAAAAAAAATTCAAAATCGTGAAGAATAGACAGCGCTTTTAAAAAAAGCGCTGCTAAAGGGGCAAAAAGAGGTATAAAAAAGCGCTGCTATAGGTTGGAAAATGAGGGTCTAAGAAAACGCTTTAAAAAAGCGCTACTAAAGGGGGGTCTAAGACAGCGCTTTAAAAAAGCGCTGCTAAAGGGGGTCTAAGAAAGCGCTTTTAAAAAGCGCTGCTAAAGGGGGGAGATGAAGGGGGATTAGGCAGCGGTTATGAAAGCGCTGCTATAAGGTGAAAAAAGCGCTGCTAAAGGCCAAAAAAAAAAAGCGCTGCTAAAGGCAAAAAAAAAAACGCTGTCTTTACCTTTAGCAGCGCCACTTTAGGCAGCGCTGCTAAAGGCAAAAAAAAGCGCTGCTAAAGGTCTTTTTTGGGATAGTGCTAACAAGATAAATAATCTAATAAGTAATCATTTGACATAATTATAAATCATTATTGATAAGCTATGAAAACTAATTTGTATTAGGAGAATCAATCTCGTCAACAACACTCAAATAACATAATATTTCTTTCGATCTTTTTTATGAGAAAAACTTTACCTGATCTTTTTTATGAGAAAAACTTTACCTTTTAGATTGATTAAATAATTAATGTATCTGGTGTATATTATAAATCAGATACATTAATTATTTAATAAATTTAAAAATATGAGATATCTTTTATAAAAAGGACTTGAGGGAGTAATAGTTAAACAATACTCGGTTTATTACTTAATGTTGAGTAATATCAAGCAGTCGGGCAACAGATGTTGAGTAATTGATTTCATGTTCTGCGTGTAGGATGAAGATAATGACTAGGGCAAGAGCTAGATAAGCATTGGGTTTATATAACCATATATATCACTGTGTCATCAGATTTCAAAATTCTGCATAAACAGCAATCAAACTGTAAATGTACAAACACTTGCAAAGTTAGTATCCACCGAAGACAACTACTGAGTTACATGTATGCTTATCGACACAACTCGCAAAGATGGCATTAACCATAAAGGTGACTAAATGAACTTCAGCTATGCATATTCATAAACTAAAATGTTATCTATCTGCTCTTTTTTATTGACTCTTGCATTGACAAGTTGTTTATCTATTATTAAGAGAGATTGTATCAAAGAAAAGACAGTAACTATAATAAATTCAAAGTTAATAACTAGTTCCTTCAATTATATTAAATGAAATATAGATTTTACAACTTCTCAAAAACCTTAATAATCTACTAAATTTGGCTGCATACATCATTTCTTCCTAGCAAGACATGGTTTTATCATTGGCGCCACAAGAACGAAGAGTGTTTGAGTAGGAAATAAATTGAGGACAGAATCCACAATTGTGTGAGCCTATTTCTGTCACCATCATAAATGTTTCTTCATCCAAACCACAACTATAAATCTTGTGTTCTGTAGAAAAAACTAGAATATTTCCGTTCATGACAGTAAATCCGGTAACACGAGCATCTTTCTCTTCTAATCCCAATGCCTTCACTCTCACCCTCAAAATCTTTCGCCATGAACATGACTTGTAATCTTTTAAATACCAAATAGTAAAAATAGACTTTCTTGATTTCACTAAACAGATGGAATTATTGGAATCAGTGACTTTACCCCAATTAAATATGCCCATGTTACAGTCGACGTGAAAACCCTTTATAGCTTCCCTTGGCAACTTAATCATAGTCGAAGTTCCTTTTTCAAAATTATAAGACATTATGTATGGCTTATAGAAAGGACTCGATCTAGCAAAGTAATTCGAACAATCTGAGATAAAATGAAGTGATTCATTGTGAACCACCTGCATGTCAAATTTCATATTCCTACCACCACAGAAAAAGTTGTTTGCCATGGTTTTCCACACACCTTCCTTTCCATGATAGATATTGCATACATAACTTGTTGGTGACCATTCCATTGTATTTTCAAAATAAAAAATCAAATAATCATCCGAAGAGCCATGTGAACAATTTAACATGAGATTTATGTTAGAAAACCTATGGTTATTTCTTAGTGACTCCGGAGTAGGGATGAAAAAGCAAGACTTTGTAATTGGATTGAAAATAAACAATTCAACTGGATAATCAATAGTATAACAAAGAAGCAAACCATTGCTAGAAGCTACAACGCAAGTTGAATTTGACAGAAATGTCATAACATTGTTAGGAACACCAGAGAAATGTTGCTTAGATAAATGGTGCAACTCGATCCTTTTTTGATACCTTTGACTTATCTGATCATGTTGGAGGAAGAAACATGTATCACTCTTCCCTAACAAATTACAAGACTGCTTTGTTTTGAAGTGAGATTCTTCTAAAAATTGGGAAAATAAACTGCAAGTTAATTTAAACTTACAAATGGTTTTTGCAGGTAACCAAGAAAATATCTCATAAGCAATGTCTTCTTGTGACACTTTCATATTATCTAAAAAAAATTTGAGAAATGAAAAATAGACGAAGACTAAAAAAAATAAGAGAACAGATGACAACAAATACAAGATGCGTGAGACAACAACGTTAGGTTGGTTATGCTATATATTATAGTTCTACTAAAAAAACAAAATTTGTTTTCTTTTTTAAATAAAGTATTTTCTTTCAAAATGATAATGAATCCCATAAAATAGGTAAGTTCATTTTTAATTTTAAAAATAAGAAATCTGTGTTAAAAATAACTAGTTTCCAATTATCAAGAGAAGTTATTACTGTCTTGGGGCCAAAGATACATTTTCTTAATTGGATTTGTTGTTTTGATCAAAACTATAAATGTCACAAACTTGGAAAGTAAGTAACTAAAAGTAATTAATTCTCCAGATTTGTTGAAATGCGGATGAAATTCCAATCCTCTATTCCACCTTTTAGTTTCTAGTAAGTAATTACTTTTGTCTCATAAACCCTGCCTTCTATTTTATTATTATTAGTTAACCATATTTGTTTTTATGCCTAGATAAATATAATAACAGGAATTAAAACTTTGAAATTGTTAATGTTATTTTTTTCTATATCTACTTACATTCAATTAGGATTGTTATTTGTAGAAATGGTTATAAAAGAAATGTAACAAATAAACTTTAAATAGAAAATACTTAATAAAATGTTATAAGTAAATATATAAAATTTATTATTGGATAAAAATTAAATACATTTTTCATTGTAGATTCAATAAATTTTTTATCAATATCATCTAGGTGCGATTAAAATATAAATGATGATAAAAAATTTCTTCCAAAATTTTAACACTTTTGAAGTTATAATGTTAGATTCAAATTCATAATTTATAATTAAGTTAGGAGACATGTGAACTATATTTATTCAAGACAAAAGTAATAACTAAATTTTATGACAGGTCTCATTTTCAATTTCTCTCAAGTAGAATTATAGTTATATCTTTTAAAAAAAAAACAAATCTTCTCACATCTAAAGCTAAATTGAGTTCGTCCTTCTTCGTCTGCAACTTTCACAATCGCTTCATCGAAAACGAGTCAATTTATTGCTTTGATAGATGGCGTCAATTGTATTGAAGAAGCCAATGCCTGAAGATTGTTGAGAATGTAATTCCTAATGTCAAAGCATATTGCTCGACAGAAGTTTAGTATTGTCGAAATGTTGAAGAAGTGTGTCTTCGATATCAATTTTAAGACATACACTATGCCAAAAAAGACCTTTAGCAGCGCTTTTTTTGGCCTTTAGCAGCGCTTTAAAGCGCTGCCAAAAGTGGCGCTGCTAAAAGCTCCCTTCAGCAGTACCTTTAGCAGCGCTTTTTTAGCCCTTTAGCAGCGCTTTTGTAAGCGCTGCATAATTCCCCCAACCATCCCCCCCTTTAGCAGCGCTTTAAAAAAGCGATGTCTTAGACCCCCCCTTTAGCAGCGCTTTTGCAAAAGCGCTGCCATAGCCCACCCTTTAGCAGCGCTTTTTACAAGCGCTGCCTTAGACCCCCCCCCCCCTTCCAAACCAATAGCAGCGCTTTTGTAGCGTAATATTTGTGACCTTTAGCAGCGCTTTTATGTAAAAGCGCTGTCTAATGTCCTAGATTTTAAAATTTTTTTTTATGAAATATTCACCATGTTTTGTATATTTTACCAACAACCTGCTTATATTACACAAACCTGCTTATAATTAAGGCCTTTATTTCAGCACTTTGGCCTTATAAATAAAATTCAAACTTTGGCCTTAAATATACCATTCAAACTTTGGCCTTATATGTACAATTCAAAATTTTGGATGTAACTCATGACTTTGTTCATAAACATTTTAATATACACATAAACCTGTTTAAATATGTTACAACAAAAATTGACACAAATACATTCAATTCTCAGAATTACAACAACACAAATACATTCAATTCACATATAATTACAAGTCTTCCAATCCGATAACTCTATACAATTCTCAACCCAAGAATAAATTGACACCATTCCTCTTTAATTTCTTCCAATTTTGCTTTCGTGTAAGTAGCGCACTTGAATTCATCATAATACTACATAATATAACAAATCGAATAAGATTTAAGTTTAAAACTAATTACTCAGATGAAGTATCGGATAGTTATCAAAATGAATCATATAACTTATATAATGAATTGATCCATACCAGGACTGGAATCTCAAGTTGACTAGAAAGAATAATTTCCCTCATAAAGCGCAATACAAAATATCCACAGTCAATACCATTACGCTGCCGAGGACACTGTAAATGGAAAAAACAAACGAACATTTATCCGGATATATAGTTGAAATAGTTTTATCAAGTAGAAACATGCGAGAATATACCTCTACTCTGATCCAGTTGATGTTGTTAGCCTTCCTTTTTGGCACCGTTGCATCTCTTTGTGCTCTGAATATTTGTATAACTCTAACATAATATAAACGCATATTTAGAACAATGTCACATAATAAATAAAGATATATAATTAAAGACAACAGTATATGTCATCACTTACATTGTTCTGAATCTCCATTGAATGCTTTTCTCCACCCACGGTAGTGATGACTAGAATTTAAGAATCTACGATGACCAAGAAAGACATTCTTCTGACCAAATTCCAACCGCGTCCAATCTGTGTTTTCTTCACAGATAGGACACGCACATTGACCTTTAATACTATACCCCGATAGATTTCCATATGCTGGGAAATCATTAATTGTGCCAAACACCATCGCCCTCAAATTGAAACTTTCTTTCCTATATCCATCATAAACCTCCACACCGTTCTCCCACAAACTCTTTAAGTCTTCGATTAGAGGTGTCAGGTATACGTCTATGTCATTCCCTGGTTGTTTAAGGCCAGAAATTAACATAGATAATATCATGTACTTACGCTTCATACATAGCCATGGAGGTAGGTTATAAATCATAATAATTACAGGCCAGGTGGAATGTGAGATGCTCTGCAGACCATGCGGTTTCATTCCATCAGTCGATAATGCCAAGCGAAGGTTTCTAGCTTCTTCTCGAAAATCAGGATAATCATTATCAATTTTCATCCACTGTGGTGAATCTGCCGGATGTCGATACTTTCCATCTACAATTCTATCATCTGCATGCCAAGTCAGGTGTTTTGCATCTGTTTCACTACGAAACATGCGTCTGAATCTCGGAATTATAGGAAAATACCATAATACTTTTGCTGGTGACAACTTTTTCTTATACCGAGATACACCGCATTTAGGACACTCGTTTAATGATGCATATTCATTTCAAAACAAAATGCAATCATTTGGAAAAGCATGTATCTTATCATAGCTCATGCCAATAGAGCATAACATTTTTTTAGCTTCATAGGTTCGATTGGGAAGAACATTATCCTCCGGAAGCATCTCTTGAAGTAGGGCTAACAACTCTGTGAAACTTTTATCCGACCATCCATTACCCGCCTTTAAATTGTACAACTTTAATACCGCGGACAATCTTGTGAAAGTAGTGCAACCTTTATACAACGGTTTCTCTGTATCGCTTACCAACCTCTCAAACATCTTGGGACAATCTTGAATATCTTCTTCAAGTGCTTCTGCAATCTCTTCGACTCGATCACAATCATATGTATCTCTGCCATTGTCCTTTGAAGCACATGTTGTATTATTCTGGGGTTCAACATTCTCGTTACTTATCTCACCATGTAATGTCCAACATGTGTAACTTCGATCAATTCCATGTCTCATTAAATGAGATTCCAACTGAACGGCGTCAACTCGACGCCCATAACAGCATCCTAAGCAAGGACATGTGATCCTACTGGAGTCTTTGGCGTGTTCAACAACAAACTTAACAAACTTCGATACCCCATTCTCGTACTCTTTTGACAATCGATTACCAGACATCCATTTTTTATCCATACTAATTGAGTAATCTACACTAAACTATAAAAGTTAAACAAAACAGAGAATACCTTTAAGGAAATCACTAACTTCTAAGAATGCTACGCAATAGGATGCTTGGAAACGATCACAGCTTTGCTCTTCACAGGTAACCCCTATAGCAGATAAAATATAAATTTTATTAAATCATACTAAACATATTAAAAATACTAGATATTAAAAATCATATTACTAATAACATATTAAAACCATAATAACATATCATATAATCATTGATATCCTTAAACCAAAATGACACCCTTACTAAATATTGAGAAATCCTAACTAAACATATAAAACCATAATAACATATCATATAATCATTGACAAATTCATACTAACATATCAACATATAAGTATATATAGTATTACTAATAAAATAAGTATATATAGTATTACTAATAAAATAAAGGTACCTATCATAACTAATAAAAGTGTATATAGAATGACATAAATTAAATAGAAACAGTGTTAGAAATAGAAAAACGGAAGCATTAAAAAAACCGGCGACATGTATAAACTTTAAAAATGAAAGCTTAAAACTTGGAAAAATGAAATCTTAAAACTTATATATATAAAAAAAGTGAAAGCTTCAAATTTAACAAAACAGTAAACATATACATTAATTTAAAACTGAGAGTTTATTATATATTATAAAACTGGAAAAAAAAAACAAAATTATAAGTTAATAGTATTCTCATGTTATTACTCACCCAAAACAAGACAACAGTACTCATAAAAAATGCTACCAAAAATACCAAAAGAAAAACAGTGACAACAAACACATAGAAGCAGCAGTTATATTGATATGTCAAAAGAAAAAATCTGCAGCATAACAGCATATTGGCGATGTCAAAATCCATGAATTTACTTACTCTTAACACGTTAAAACAGAAATGACAGTAGCAGTAAAAATCAATTCTCAGTAGCAACCATACATACTATTTAACACAAATAACTAAATAAAAATTGTACACTATCTTCATTATTTTGATTCTATTCATCTCTCACTATCGTAGTGTATTGGTTCTATTTACCTTTTTCTAATTGTACTCTTGTTCTGAATT